ATCGGGGCTGGGGACAGGACAGGGACAGGGACAGGGACAGGGACAGGGACAGGGACAGGGACAGGGACAGGGACAGGGACAGGGACAGGGACAGGGACAGCCGTGGAGTGAGGTTCAGCTCCATCCCATCCCTAAATCCTCTTGTGAGGATCCCCGCGCTCCTGCGGATCCCGAACCTGCGGGAATGCTCCTGGATAACAAATTCCAGAGGTTTGAGAGCTGCTCCCCTCGGGAGAGGGAGCTCCATGGATTCCCTGCCTGTGTGTGCGAGGCCGAGCACGGCTGGGATTGTTCCCGGGATCCGGGCCCGGCTCAGCGAGCACCAGCGTGACCAGGAAAATCAATCCTTCCTTCCCAGAGCGGGAGGGATTGGGATAACAGCGAGCTGTGGGCTGGGGGAACCTGCCTATCCCGGATTTCCCGGGATAACCGCCCCACCTCCAGGCACCTGCCCCACCTCCTGGCCTCCCTTCCCAGCCTGCTGCCGGGCATTCCCTGCCTGCTGCAGCGGGAGCAGGTGCTCCGTGTGGGAGCGTCGCCGGGATTCACCGGGATTCACCGGGATTCACTGGGATTCACCGGGATTCACTGGGATTCACCGGGATTCACCGGGATTCACCGGGATTCACCGGGATGTGACAGCCGGAGCACAGGGATACCCCGGGATGGGAAGGGCTGTGCAAAGCCAGGGACTGGAAAGGCTCAGGGATCCCCCCAGGAGCATTCCCAATCCCATCCCGCTTTTCCGTGCCTGTGTCCTTGGCATGGGAATCCTGCAGGATGAGCAGCCCCAGGAGCTGCTTCCCATTCCAGGCTGGGATGGATCTGGTGAGGATTATGGGGCCCTAAAAGGGTTCGGGATGATCCCGATCCTTCCTGAATCCCCAGGATGATGATCCCAGTTTTTCCTGCATCCCTAGGATGATCCCTGTCCTCCCTGAATCCTTTTTTTTTGCTTCCAGAGGTTTGGATTTGCTGGATTTGGGGTTGATGGATGCGTTTGTGGCTCCAGAAATGAAACCTTCTAAGGGTGGTTTTATTTTATTCCATGATTTTCGAGACCGGGCTCATTTTTGGGATTTCCAATTCCAAACTGGGATGGGAATTCTGAGTTTCCCTTGAATCCCAGGATGATCCATGTGCTCCCTGCATCCCGGCACTTCGCCTGTGGGAGCAGCTGGCTCCGGGAGAGGCGCCCCATGGCAACAGGGAAGGGGTTGGAGCGTTTTCCATGGATACAGCAGCGGGATCCATCCCCCGGGGCCGCCCTGGAGCGCCGGGATGAAGGATGGGCAGCGCGGGGGATCCCAAATCTATCCCAAATCCATCCCAAATCCTGCTGCTGCTTCCCAGAGCATCCCGGGATGCTTCCCGAGCTGTGCTCCACATGGATCAGCTCTCGGGGGAGGATTTGGGGTGGTTTTAGGGCGATTTGGGGTGGGTTTAAGGCGTTTTGCGGTGTTTTTTAGGATGTTTTTGGGGCGGTTTTGAGGAGGTTTTGGGGTGTTTTGAGGGCATTTTTTGAGTGTTTTTGCGTCATTTTGTGGGTGGTTTTGGGGGTGTTTTAGGTGGTGTTTTTGAGGTGGTTTTGGGGTATTTTATGGGGCGTTTTGGGGGTGGTTTGGGGGTGTTTTCTGTGGTTGTTTTGGGGGTGTTTTATGGGGGTTTCTATGGGGTATTTTTGGGGCAGTTTTATGGGGTGGTTTTGGGGTGTTTTTCCTGTTGTTTTTGGGGTGTTTTTTCTGTGTTTTTGGGGTGTTTTTTCTGTGTTTTTGGGGTGTTTTTTCTGTGTTTTCGGGGTGTTTTTAGGGCTCCAACCCCTGCTGTCCCCGCTGTTGCTCCCTGGGGTGGCGGGGAGGAAGCGCGGGGGACACGGCCGGTGGCACCGGGGACAGGCTGAGAGATTCCGAAAGTCCTGGCGTGGGAGTGACACGGGGACAGGGACAGGAGGTGGCTCTGGGCTCGGGGCAGGCTGGGGACACCGTGGGGACACCGTGGGGTGCCACAGCTCTCTTGGAAAAGGGGGATCTGTCACCACCCCAAATCCCAGCCTGGTCCTGCTGTCCCCTCTGCTGTCCCTTGCTCAGGTTCTCCCTCTTTTTTTTGGCTCGGGGGATTTGGGATTCTCTCATCCCAAACCTTTCCAGGGCAGGATTTCCTCCTGAGGGTGGAAATCCATGGAAAATGATGGAAAAGCCTTTGGCACCGTCCAGCTCCACATCCTGCCTCCTCCAGAGAGCTGGGACTGGGCTGGGCTGGGCTGTCCATCGGAGAAAAATCAGCTGGAGGAGCAGGAAAATCCTCCAAAACAGGTCGGAAGCGGGGCTGGATCTTTGGGATAAAATCCAGGCCTTTCCTGCTGCTCTCCTGGAAAATCCTGCTGGAGCTCCTGACGTGGGCATCCAGCTCCAAACCCCCTCTGGAAAGCTGGGAGTGCAACCCCCGGGATTCTGGGATTCGGCTTTTTGTCCACAGAGTGGGGAACTGGAAGGGAGATGCCTGGAAAAGGCTGCTGGAATGGGATTTGGGGGAAATCCGGCCTCTTTTGCTTCCAGAGGGAATCTGGAATTTGGGGGATCCAGGGATCTGCCGTGGGATCCCATGGGATCCTGCCAGGTTTTCCAGGATCAGGGTGGCTCCCTTTAATGATGGCATCGTGAAAATTCCCTTGGAATTCCCATGGAGCGGGAGGCTCTGACCCAGCATCGCTTCCTGCTCCTGGACCGGCACTTGGAGGGAAATTCTGGGGCTTTCCCTTGGGATTATCCAAATCCTCGCTCCTTCTGGGATGGGAAGGGGCTGAGCCACCAGGTCACGGTGTCCCCAGCACAGGTGACATCCCCTGGTGGCTGTCAGACCCCTCAGCCAGGCTTTCCTCCATGGGGTAGGACCCATTTCCCACCCCATTCCAGCCCCATTCCCACCCCATTCCAGCCCCATTCCCACCTCATTCCTGCCCCATTCCTGCCCCATTCCCACCCCATTCCCATGGCCATTCCCACATCATTCCTGCCTCATTCCCACCCCATTTCTGCCCCATTCCCACCCCATTTGTGGCTATTCCCACCTCATTCCTGCCCCATTTCCACCCCATTCCCATGGCCATTCCCACATCATTCCTGCCCCATTTCCACCCCATTCCCATGGCCATTCCCACCTCATTCCCGCCCCATTCCCGTGGCTATTCCAGCCCCACACGCGGCTCCGAGCTCCAGCGGGATGCAGATGTTTGTCTTGGAGACCAGCGCGGAGCTGTGGCTTCGTCAGCCACAAAATTGAGTTTATTGCTTTTGGGTTAAAAGCAGATTTTCCTCTGTTCGGCTTCCAGCTTTTGGGATTTCTGCTTTTCCAGGAAAAAGCCGCAGCTGCCAGCAGGGCCTGAAATGCCAGGGAAGGGAACATTCCCAACCTCTCAACACCCCCTGGAGCCAGTTTTTCCAGCTGGAAAGCACCAAAATCCCTGGATGAGCTGGTGCTGGGGGGCCGAGAGGGACTCAGGAAGGGACAAATCCTGCGGGAATTGCGGAGCTCGTTAGGAACCATCTGGTCCTGCAGAACTCGGGGTCAGGGGGGCCCTTGGGACTGGGATTTATTCCCGATATCCCATCCAAACGTGTCCAGGGGGTGACAAAAACCCCCCAGAACCGGCCTGGAATGGAGGGAGGTGGTCACTGGTCACTGGGGTGGGGTGTGGGGGCCACTTGTGGGGCTGGGGGAGGTCCCAGGCCTCTCCTGGCTGGGATGTTTTGGGATTTAGGATTTTCCTGCTTTCCCCAAAATGGGCACGGTGGTGCCCAGCGCTCCCAGTAAAATATTTGTCATTACTGGGAAGGGGAAGTGGCCCCTTTTTTACCCTAAATTGGGGCATCAACAGAGCCCTGTGTGGGACACAGGAGAGCCTGGGGGGGCACTGGAGCCAGACCTGGTGTGAACCCCAAAAATGGGAGCTCCCGTGGTCCTAACCTGCCCAAAACCCCAAAAACTGGAGGTGATTTTTAGAGCTGAGCAGTCCCTGGGGTGGGTGCTGGGGAATATCCGTGAGATCCAGAAATTTCCCATCTGTCCCAGGCCATTCCCGGTTCCCTCTCCTGAAATAAACCTTGGAGCTGCCCCTCTCATCCCTTCCTTTCCCATCTCTTCCATTCTGCCTTAAAAATCCCTGGATTTGCCGGCAGGGGCTGTTTTTTTTTCTCTCAAATCATTGATAATTTTTCTAAAATCACCGTGCTGGGGCAGCCTCGTGGGGTTTGGGGTGGCTCAGCCCCAGAGCAGGTGCTGATCCCGCTGCCAAATCCCCAAATCCGGGGTTGATTTTATCCTTGGGGAAAAAATTCGGGATTCCAGCTCAGACCCTGCCCTGCCTGGTGTCCGTGGGCTCCCGAGGAAGGGGAAGCAGCAGCAGCTGCAGCCACGTCTTTATTTTTACCCCTGGCCCTGCTGGGCCCCCGCGCGTTTCCCTTTTTCCAGGCGCAGAGGAAGGGCTGAGCCAGCAGCGCCAGCCCGGCCTTCCTTATCCGGGAGATTCCAGAGGGGTGGGAAAGGACTTTGGGATATTCCATCCCATCCCTGCAGCATTTCCATTTCCCCATTCCCAGAATCCATGGGCACCCATCCATTAATCCCTCACTTTCCCCATTCCCAATATCCATGGGCACCCATCCATCAATCCCTCTCTTCCCGCATTCCCAGATTCCATGGCTGCCCATCCATTAATCCCTCTCTTCCCCCATTCCCAGAATCCATGGGCACCCATCCATCAATCTCTCACTTCCCCCATTCCCAGATTCCATGGGCACCCATCCATCAATCCCTCACTTCCCCCATTCCCAGCCATCCGCGGGTGCCCATCCATTAACCCCCTGCCTTTCCCGTTCCCAGGAGGCCGGAGCAGCAGGATGCCGTTCTCCTGACCCCGATCCCGGCAGGATGTCGGGCCCACGCGGCCCCGGCGAGCAGTGGCCGGCGCTGGAGTCGGTGGGGCTGAGCCGCAAGGAGCTGGCGCTGGCCGAGGCGCTGCAGATGGAATACGACGCCTTATCCCGGCTCCGCCAGGACAAGGAGGAGAGCCGGGCCAGGAAGGAGCAGCTCCGGGAGCATTCCCTCATCTCCTGGGATGACCCCGTGGACAGGAACGGCTGCGCCGGCATCAAAGCGGCGCGGGGGCTCTCGGGCTCCG